TGATGCAACAGAGATGGAGAGGGTCCTGATCAAAGAGGGAGATGAGCTGAAAGCAGCCGTCCGTGAGATATAGTCCCAAAGAATTGAAGTAGTATTTTTGCACCGTATCTGACTTAATATGAATGTCAAATGCAGGCCAAATATCATTCAGATTGGTACGTACAGTACATTAGCTAATTCAACACTCTACACTGAGGGGACAATCTTACGGATCTCTTTCATACCACTCTTTCTTGTGTGTTCATCTTGCTGAGCAGCATAATTAACGTAATTTCAAGACACTGCCTACTTTACCCTCATCAGTCATAACACTGTGAGCCTTTCCAGCCTGTAACACACTGAAAAGGTGAGTTTTTGTGACCTGACCAATCTGTGATTATTCGATTGGTTTTCTTGAAAACTGTTCATTAACACGACAGTCAAACATTACTTTGCACAGTTGAACAGCCACACCGTGTTAAATTGGCTCTGACAAGAGATTTTGTGGCGAAGGATTAATCTGAGTTGGTCTATCAGCCTGAATTTACTTTACTCGTTTTCTTTTGCTTTTACTTCCACTTTTATGCAAGAGAACCCGTCAATCGGAACAGTTTTGAAACATTTCAATAACTTCCTTATAGTATGTGTGTGGTTAAAAGGAGGAGATATTTCCTCCACACGGGACCATTTTAGATGTGAAAATAATGATCACATTTTAAATCTATGATGGTATTAGCAATAAACAATTACTTTGAATTGCAAAACTGAGTATTTTATGAGAAGACTAAACAGCGAGAGGTATTACAGAGACAACGGACAGAACAGTGAAGATCATTATTTTTGCCAATCTAATAGAGAAAAATATTTATGGATGTCTGGTGGAAAACAGAATTTTTTTAAAGGCAATAAATAAGCAAAATGTCAAGCTCAATAAGAAATAGAGAAACTATTAAAATGAGAGGCTTCATGGATTCCCAATTAAGCTTATTAATAAAAGGCCAGTTACTATAAACAGAAGGGTGCGTGTACCGTAAAAACAATTAATGTTTGACATGGAGGTGGGCAAGAAAGAAAGCACCGAGGACTTGCCATGAATGTACATTAAAGACATAGCTGGAGAGGAGAGATATGTCTTGACAGCCTCAGTGCTTTCTTCAATAATCTGCAATGACTGCTCTCTTCATATTCAAATCACAACACACAATGCATGAAAGACTTTTCAAAGTCATTTTTAGAGCAGTGTGTGTTCAGCACCAAGGATGGGTTCCACTTCTAGCTTGATTATTTTCAGACTTATTTTTTTTTGTTCTCTATTTCGTTTGGTGAAGAGAACACAAAGCTCTGCGTGAAAGGCCACTGTGATCTGCTCTCATTCATTGTATAATCCCATGAATGTGCAAACAAAGTTAGGATCCATCTGAAAATGACTGGAATTCCATTTAAATCACTGATGAAAGTGTTTTGCAATTGACTTGAAGTCAAACAGAAAAAACAGCAATTACAAAAAAAATACTAGTTTGGTTTGCTTTGTGTGCTGAGTTCAGAGGGATGACAATGGTGTGTTGAAAGAATGCAGGCAACAGCTGTCTCTCTTCACAGTTTGAAATTCTCTCAGAAACTGCAGCATTGGTATGAAGGCGCTATGCTATAGAGTGTACGTGACTGATGTTCCTACCTACTGATCTTACCTTCAGCAGAGAGTTTAAAGCCCACAGAATCTTTTTTTGTTTAACCTCGAGGTGGTTGTTTTTAGTATGCCGCGATCAAACCGTCAGCTCTTCTGCAGCATGAAGCGAAGGTTAGACTCTATCCATCTTTGGCCTAAGACTCGTGAATATAATGGATATTGTAGTGAATTAAACATGACTTTAAAGGAATAGTGTGAATAATTTAGGGGGATCTATTGGCAGGAATGGAATGTGAAATAAATACATATATTTATTTAGTGTATATTCACCTGATAATAGGAATTGTTACCTTAGAATTAGCCGTTTATATCTACATACAGAGAGGGTCCTCTTCATGGAGCTGGCCGCCAAGTTCTAGCCCAGAGCGGAGAAACCAAACACTGGCCATAGGACCATTCACGTTTCAGTTGGTTTCAGTTGGTAAATATGTAGCTGGAAACAGCTGGTTAGCTTAGCTTAGCATAAAGACTGGAAGCAGGTAAAAACAGGTATGGCATATATGGTACATGTGTGATATAATAACCTTTATCTAGTATGTGTCAATACATGAAATGAGAAAAATGAATACCGTACACACATATTAAACACTTAATACATGCAGTATAAACACTGCTTAATGTATGAAGATATACATCGGTGATTACCATCCAGCATCTGTAAACATCACTATCATATGGCGAGGCTGTGTGGAAGTTTCTCACAACTTTATTTTCACATTATTGCTCATTCGTATTCCCTCCTGCTCCTCCCCGAGAATGTCTGCTGAGAGGTGAGAGCGACTTGAGAAGTTGTAACTCCGAGCACGACACTGTAGATGAGGCGTCTACTTTCTAAACTCATTTAGGAGAAGGTCTCTAAAGGTGACAGATGAAACCACGAGGGGAAAGCAAGGGGGAAAAAAAGGTGGGATGGGAGAATAAGGGTTTATAAAGATGAGCTACCTCAGATCTTAAAGAATTCTCTCCATGCGTCTGCCATTATCCCAGTGTGCCTGTCAACTGTCTAGAAACAGACCTGTGAGCCGCTGAGCCCAGGGATATTAATTTGCAGCCCTAATGTTCTGTGGCAAAGGAATTGGAGTCATCTCAACACAAACAAATTGGATCTTGCAGCTCATCTGTAATGCAAGTCATGCCTGGAGGTATGGTGGGGTGCTGAATGACCCCCGCCTACAACACGCAGAGGAGGGTACAGCTAAATTCTCTGTCGCGATGGCCGAATACAGTGGCCGAGCTGGGTTCAAAATAAAAGCAGTGAAGGAAGGGAAGAAAAGCTGCGTGTGATATATATGATTGATAGGTTTCTGATGGGGTCCTGAGTGCAGCTGGCCAGCGGATCAGGATCTATTTGTCAGATATGATTGCAGTGATATTGAGTTAGGGAAAAAAATAAGACAGTAGATGCCAATATGCGAAAAAAAAACATACTGAGATAGTGAGAAATAAATGACACACACTGCAGGGTAAGGACACAGGGTGGTTTGGGGAAATGTTGAAACGGAGGTGTGATCAGTGTTTCAGAACACTCAGGCTATTACACAGTCTGTCAGAGCCATGTACCTGGCCCCGTTTCACTCCCCCGTTGTCCATCTCCAGGTCAAACCTAAGCAATGATCAGTGCAGCTATAAGACTGTATTTTGATCCTCTCCCTTCCTTGCTCTGTAGTGCACACGTTCAAATGCCAAACGCACAATACATTGCACATGAAAGGAAGGAAGTGTCAATACCTCAGAGCCCTTGCCGCAAAAAAGTAGGAGTATTTTCTTTAAAGATCCAAATGCTGAGATTGTGGTCAGGACTCTTCTTACGTACTGTTATAGAAGATTTAGATCCCAGATAATGATATAGGATTTCAGACCTGGTGCAAGGCAACCTTTGAAGTTCATTCACTTAAACAAGCTACTTGAACTACACATTAGCCCGTGGAGGCTGTCTTGAACTTAAAAGTTAAATTCACCCCCTTTTATGTGGATGTCTAATCAGTGCTGATGGTAAATGTAGTCCACTGAAAGAATACATTCCCAAGAGTGTGCTATATTGACTGAGAAAGTCGATTTTATTTTCCTCCTGCGGAGCTGTGCCAGCTGTGCCTACATTGTGCGCAAGCGGCGATTTAGCTACATCTGATAAATAGACAAAATAAACTCACAGAATGTCAGCGAAGGAAATATTCGTATACATTTAAAAGATATTTCCACACAGCGTTGATAGTACTACATATCAGTTTAGGAGATATTTATTGAATTTTCATCTTTTCAATTGCACTCTAATATCTTGCCTTCTTTTAACTCCAAAACATCTCATGTGCACAAAAAAGCAAAATATGTGCACACAGAATATTATGTTTTTTTCCTCATATCCATGGTGTGTTTGTGTTTTTGTGTATATGTTTGATTTTAATAAATTGTTTTACTCAGCCAACAACAACAAGACATTCGAGACAAGAAGACAGCTAGCCATAGTAAATATGAATCTATCTCTATCTCTATCTCAGGACTGTGTTGGTGGGGTTTGATCAGATCCAAATCTAAAAAGTGAAGCCAATGCCAAATTCCCTAAAACTTGCATTCTTTCTAATAGCCATCAGGGGGCGACTCCTCTAGTTGTAAAAACTAGTCAGATTGTGTAAGTCTACAAGAAAACAAAACTAATTCTCACTTGATTTATTACTTCAGTAAACATTGTAAACATGAGTTTCTGGTCTCAATCGCTAGTTTCAAGTCTTCTTCAATACAGCATGATGTTCATTTAGTAAATGATGGCCCATTTAGATTAAAATAGACCATAAAACAGGGTATGCTTTATTGACAGGTCGCTACCACAGCATTGTCTGGTCTGGGAGTGTTTTGTGTCTGTCTGTTTAGAACTTTAACTCTTTCAGAGCGTGTTGAGCCGTTATGAGACTTTGATTAAAATGTTCCTAAAACCTGATTGGGGAATCAAAGTATAGGTGACATCATCTTTATCCAACTGAGCCCCGCCCACTTCAAAGCAGTGAGTACAGCAAAACACAAAAACAGGATTTTTCTTTTGCCTTACACAATAGCGTTGCTTTAACTATGGCAGGAAATGTGATCATGCAGCTCATAATAAGAAGCTAATTGAGAAAATGGCTGTTTTTCATTTTGGCTCTCCAGGTCTATTTTAAAACTTAAGAAAGTTAAAGTGACTAATTTGAGTGCCACAAAATGGCAGAGTGCTCTCACTGACAATACTGCCGTTCACATGAACTAACCAAATCAGCAGACATCTCTGGTCCACTCTGAGTAATGGTAGTGGCTGTTTAAGAAACGTTCTGTGGCTGCTATCCTGGGAGATTTATGAGAGATGACAATCCAGCCACCCAATCATAATCTCACTTCTATTGGTATTTATTAATACTTTACTTGTATGACATTTTTTTTTTATAGTTTGCAGGCTTGCCATCTGCTTCTAACTGTAGCTCCTGAATAATTCATTTACATAAGGGGGATTACTGTACTGTTATTGTCCAGTGCTTTGGATACTGCTGCCTGGTGATGGTTTGGAAGAAAAAACATCCTTTCTAAGAACATGCGCTCAGTGAAAGTAAGCGCATGCATGCAGGGAGGGTGCACGCTGTATTCTCTCTTTGCGCGCATTGCGAAGCGTACCGGACTCTCCTCTCTCCAGCCGCGCCTGCCTCTCTGAACCTCCCCCCACCAGAACTCAACTCTCTCTCTCCCTCTCGCACAGACCAACGGGAGAAGGTGTTTTAACTTTCCGAAGGCGACAACATTTCAGTCGGCTCTCAAGGTAAACGCTTTGTTTGGGAGGGAGACCTTCATATTTATAGAAGAGAGAGAGATAACGAGACTGTTAACGGCGGCGCTTTGCCGAGCGGAGACCTGTTCTTGCCGAAATGATTGGCTGTTTCTTCAAATGAAAAAGTCTGAGAAATGTCTATTTCCCTGGGCGACACCGTCAGCATCCCAGCCACAATGTACAGGTGGAAACAAGCGAGTGTTTGCATCTTCCATACAATATTTGGATTGTTAAGAACTCAAAAGGTAGGAGATTAATTCATCAATTGAAGCGAAAGCTGCCCAGATTTTTCAGTTTGCTTTAAATAGCGGGCGCAATGATCTGTTTTAAAGCTGTAAAACGTGTGAAGGTATTTGTTTAACGATGGGTCGTAAATTGCCTTTACGCAGGATATGTTTTTACATTTACGCGCATGTTTAGATGTCAGTGTTTAATAGAGATAACTGGTAAAGTGTCGCATCGCATGTGTGTTGTGATGGAGGGTGTTGTTGATAAAGAACTCTGCACACAGTTCCCACCTGCGACTGCTCGATCCCATCCCCTTTTCTTTGTGTGTGTTGTGGTTTGAGGTATGCTTTTAACATGAAGTCATCAAGTCTCTCTGGGGGCTCTGGACTGTAATAGTGTCTTTTTTCTGTATTGAGATTGGTCTGAGAGAATATATATATACTTATATTTTATCAAGAATATTTTTCTCCCTGTAAACAAAGACAGCCAAGAAAAAAATATCCAAAAGCTTGAAAAGGAGGGGTTAAGTGTCAATTCAGGATATTTTATTGATATTATCTTAATTTTTATGCACGCAGTAAGTTGTTGTTGAAGGTGTTGACAGGGATACATGTTGCGGCCAAGATTTAGCAGCTTGGGCAAAATAAAGAGGCATGCAGCAAGGAGCTTATGCCCCCTCTCTCTAATACACACACACACACACACACACACACACACACACACACACCTATCAATCCCCACCGTTTCCTTCTGATCTGCCCCTGGTGTCTGCAACAATTGGGACTTTCACAAGTGATGTCAGGTCTGATCGCTGCTTGAACTGCAGTCCTACTAGAATGAGAAAACCAGAAAGTAGCTGGTTTTCTACTCACAGCTTCAGCAGTTATTTTTTGAGGAAAAAAAACAGATCTATCTATCCATCCATCTATCTATCTATCTATCTATCTATCTATCTATCTATCTATCTATCT